GCTTTATTTAGAAAGAGGATAGAACATGAATGATAAGAAGCCAAAATGCTTAATATTGTTAATCCATTCAATGTTAATTCCAGGCGACGTGACAACTTGTGACGCGCAGCGCGCTCGTTATGACGAGCTGACTATCTCTTATGGGGACAAGATGATAATTCAATTACGGTCGGGTACACATGTTGAATAGTTCGTGCGCATGAATATTGGTTTCGCATGCAGAACGAGGACGGGACCACACATGCTATATTTACCTTAATGAATAACGAATGCACATCTCGTAAAAGTATTCTTCAAGCGATGTTTAGGACAATCTGCTAACTAGATTGTTGCAACAGCTATTTCTAAATAAGCTAAGAGTACTTGTTTAAATATCATCGGCTCTCCCGCACAAATTTTCCTCAAATACGAAAAAGTTTCTTAAATGAAAAGATTTCTCTCCGCAGTCGCATATTAAAATATATTGATTTACTTTAATAACATTTTTAATGGAAGTTAAAGAAAATTTATCTTGAATTAAAAAAATTTAAATAAAATTCTATAAATTGTATTCTATAAGAGAATATTTTAAATTTAAAAGATCGAAAAGCCTAAGTAAATTATTTTTTTTTTACTTTATTTTTTACTTTATTTTTTTTACTTTATTAAATAAGACAAAGTTACATACAAAATAATTTTATTAATTTATAGAATTTGACTTTGATAATTTTAGATCTTGGAAGAAAATTTAATATACGCAGATTTTAGTATTTTTAATATTTAATAATTTAAATTTTAAACGATAATTTTATTATATAATTATAAAAAAATTAAAAGATTTATAAAATATTGGTTTATATTAAAACTTTTTGTTCAATTGAAAAAGATAATAACTAATTTTATTTCAGATATTATTTTCTCCGAACGTGGACTGCATTCATTAAAATACAAAGGTTTCTGCATAATAACGAGCAGATATCATATCAAGTTACCTATTTTGTCTGATAATATTGTTACAAATTAATTTGTATTTTGCATTGTAGACGTGTGCCGCATAAAAACATACTTGCATCATTAATTTCATATTATACTGTAAAATATAGTACGACTTGTTTTTATCATTGTGATAACCAACACTTTATAATTAGGCTTAATTAATTTATAATAATTATATGTAATAATTAAAATGTTTATCAAACATTTTAACATTATCATTTTCAACATTAAAAAATTTTACAGAAGATATATTACTTTTTTATAGATCACAGGGTTTATTTGTGTGAGAGAAATAAATTCTTAATATAAGATATACATATATTTTATATATTAAAAAAGATTACAAAAAATTTTATTACAAAGTGTTTCTTAAGCTACATTATAAATTAAACAAAATAAAGATAAAGTTTTAATTATTAAGTTAATTTAATCTGTAAATTGCTTATACGTAGAAAATGAGTGCATTTTATATTTCTTCTTTCATATCATATCATAAATAAGTAATTTGGGATATCAACTTTTCATCTTCGGATATCTTTCTTTGTAATGTATATACCTGCTAAAGATGAAACAGATTATATCATGCAATTCTTACTTGAAGGATATCTTCATTTGTGCATTATCTTTCAGAGAAATATCAGCAGTCGGTATATGGGAAGTATGTAGTGTGTATGATACTAACTAACATATGCACATACATACATAATCAGACACTATAAAGATATACTTTCCACATACCGAAAATATAAAATATAAAATTTGATAGATTTTCTTAAAAAAACACTTAGCTTCATAACAAATATCATATATTTCTTTCCTCTTATAGTAGGAACTATACATAAACCGAGAGATTAACAAATTAAAATCTAAGACAAAAATCCAAATATAAAAAAATTTTAAATCTAAAAGTAAATGCAGTTAATTTTTTTAGTTAATTTTTTTTAATAATTTTTAAAAATAAATAAAATATGTAT